AAATTTGAAATTCGTGTATGTGAGTCGTTATCCGTAGAGAAAAAGGGTTCTAAGGCAGCTGGAATTGATATAGACACGGAACTGCGGATGTAAAAGAGCTAAATGTCAAAACGGTCAAGTGGCTCTGCATTTTTATGCGTTTTTTGCGACTATGCAATGCCTAAACGCATATTGTCGAGAGGTTTTCTGTGCGTGTGCGCCTGTGAAGGGGGGAGGAGGGGGGTAGGGGAGATGAAACTACAGGGGTGAAAGTTTCGGAGCTCTACCTGGGAAGCTAGAAGGCTGAGATTTCTCCGGTCCACGTAGAATCTAGTGACTTCAAACTGTCCCCCTAGTTATGCGTGGTTCGCACGTACGGGCCGGTGGAAATTTTTGGCGGTCAAGTTGTTAATTTAAAAACCAGAAAAGCTTGAAAGCTGAAAATCTAAGGGGGTGTTTTGAGGCAGCCCTGATGGCCAATCTAAATTCTCTTAGCTAGAAGATTTGTCGGGAAAACAGTGCCATTAGCGAAAAAAAAACCGCGGAAACTTTCCAGAAAACACATCTTCGCACCAGCAGTCGGTGCGCTGGCCAACTATTTTTGTATGAAGAAATAAGAAATTCCAGGAGATGTTGTTGACTCTATTGTTGGGAATGCGCAATTATCTTCTTTCGAAGGACACCGCTGCGATGCAGGTGAGAGCAAAGAAGTGTGCTTCGTTTTGTGGTTACAAGTTGTCGATTTTTCGAAAAGCTTGTCGATCTGATCAAGAGAATGCTTTTTAGGATGCAATTGACTCGATCAGGGCACAACTGGACTTCGAGCCTTCAGCTATTTCGCAAGTTAATCTTGCCCTGTACGGTTTTTCTGAAGCAGTACAGCCGTCACTTCGCCAACAGACCATCAAACCACACTGGATTTTTGCTCTCGATAATCTGATACGTAGCGCCGTACAAGCTGCTGTTGGTATCCTGTCTCCTGGTATCATTTTGTACATCTCAAACAGTTACTGATAATTATTTGTACAGCAAGTTCACCAGATCTTGCATAGTTATATTTAAGCCACCGATTGAATTATCGCGATTTTTAATCGGTCAATGCATATATCTTGTGCGACGTTTCGTCCTCGTTTAGTTTTTCGGGCTATAGTCGAAAAAATGATAGTTAGAATTATGTGCGGGTACAGATATTCGAGCCAGAATTTGCTTAAACGCACATTCAGCAATGTACCGGCATGCCTAGGTCGATCCGATACGGTGATGGAACTTACGTTGGATGGTTCGCAGCGAAGCCTGAATTACTTGACTGTATTTGCATAATTTCTACATGCTTTTTCGAATTCAAATTCGGATTAATTTTCTCATTTTTTATGCGTTTTATGCGGTGCAGCAGTTGCGTAAAACTCATACTGTCACGGGGTTGTCTGTGTGTGTTTGTATATATGTGCGTGTGTGTGTATATATTTGTGTATGTGTGTGTGTGTGTGTGTGCGTGTGTGTTTGTGTGTGTGAGTCCGATGCATTTTTTTTTTTGAATTGACTTTGTTGTCAGAATTGCCATCATGCTAGTGGACTCGATTGCTCTAAACTATTTCAGCTGCTTGCTTATCAGCGTTCATTTGTAAGCCTAGACCCGCGCGAAATCTGTTTCACAGTTCTCAGTGGATGTCTTGAAAATTGTTCATAAAGCTTTTGCTGAAAAAGATGAGATCCAGAAAAACGCGAAGCTGCATTACAGATCTATCAGCGATGTTATCAGTGCAGGATGTGCCCGGTAATCGCATGTCTTCGTTATCACGTGAAAGTGCTGGCTCGCATAGCGAGCATTCAACAGTGGATAGTCGTCCATGTTCGATATCACGTGGCAGCACTCGTGAGGCAATGTGGGGCAATTTTTCACCAGAAATGCGCAAAGAACTGAGAACTCTTGTTGATGAGAACAGAAGGTGGGGTGATTTTTCGGCACATTTTTGCTCGAAAAAAGATAATATTACTGGTGAACCGTTGCAAACAGCCCATTTGCAGACTGTTCGAGGAGCTGGTGACTGTTGAACGTGAATACAAGGAGCTGCTTCAGAATACTCTCAACGAAAAAAGATTGCGTGTTGAGCGACTGTCGGACTTTTTGTTCGATAACAGCAATATTCCGAGCAGTAGTCGTCAAGGGCTGTTGACGCATTCGCCATTGCCTCCGCATTTCGCCGTCACACCATCAACCGTGACTCCTGGTTCACGTATATTCACCGTGAGCAGTATTCAATCCATCGAACAGCAGGAAACATCAAACAGTCCAGAACCGCATCCGTAAGTAATCTGCTCCGAGGCATTTGGCCAGCCACTTATTCGACCGGATATATGTAAAATAATAATAATAGTGAATTTTTTGGCAAATTATTTGATATATCCACTATTTTCTGCCATTTTTTTTTCTCAGGATTGTGCGAGAGGACGATTTGGCACAGTGGCTCCGTTCATTCGGATGTGACGACATGACAGTGAGACGAATTCAGGAAGAGGAATACACAAAGCAAGACCTCATCGACTTCGTCTCTCGTGAGGATCTGATCAGACTTAATCTAAGGTAAATCTCTTCCACAATTTGCGTTCAGTTTTTTGCACTGAACTGGCAAAATTACATAGAGTGTATTTTGGCGTTTGCATTGGGATTTCTGTTTAGCTTATTTCAATTTTCTGAGCAAATACCACCATGGCACCGGTCATATTTGTATTTCCAGTTATCTTCTGAATGCGCGTTGCTTCGATTTGCATATTAACAATTGTGGCGGGGGGGGGGGGGGGGGGGGGGGG